TAGGGTGATGCCAAGCCAATCACTCAAGGGTAGTGGTTTACTAATCTCAGGCCCTTAATCCTAGCATCACACATTCCAGATTTAGCTACCTTAGACTGAATGAGGCTTTGGGGGGACTTCCAGACCCAAACCATAACACTATCTACGGAGAGACATCAATTCCTCAGACAGTGCACTAAACCTTCCACACCCCAGGGGTGTCCATCCTGACACCCCAGGCCACTCTCAGTCTGCTCTGGCTGCATACTTAGTCCAGGGACCACTCCATAGACATATTCTCTATCTTACCACCCCACTTGTGTTTCACAGTATGCTGCCTCTGTTTCTTGTGCATTTTACCTCCTCAGTACATCACCTTTTTTTAATAGAAACAGGCACAAAGGCCACCTTTGTCCTAGCATAGTAAAGATAACAGCATAGAACTGAGTCTGAAAGATCTCCAACAACACTTTTCCATTGCTTGGATGTCAAAGGCAGCCCAAGATGAAATTCACAGCTGGCAGTAGCTTTCAACCATCTACCTGCACTAACTCGGTTGTCCTGTTTACTCCCCAGAGCTTCTTCAGTTCTCTGTTACCTTGAGTAACACCACAGACATCCACATGAAGTCCGGCCAAGCACCTCTGCGGACTCCAGTTTCAGATGAGTCTGATTTGTTAAGGATAAGAAAGTCGTTAAGAGTTCTCCTGTCCTGTGTATTAGGAGTATTGTCATATAAACGTCAATCTTCTTATAATATCCCTGTCTATTTTATGGAATTACAACAGACAATTTGAGCCACTGAGAGTGTGGGGTTGACCCTGAACTACTTGAAGGTATTCTACCTGAGAATTAAGGACACAGTGTACTGGACTACTACAGGTCTGGGGGAAACTGGGACTGCAGAGATCGACAGTGAACAAAAAGGTGACTGGAGAGGCTGGCCTTTGGAAATCATGTGCAGTCACTGCCACAACCATGGACTGGATGGCGTCAACCACAGGAATCTATTTTCTCAGTTCGAAAAAACCAGAAGAGTCCAAAATCAAAGGGTTGGCAGGTTTTGTTTCTTTGATACTTCTCTCATCGATTTGTACATAATCATCTTCTCCAGGTGTCTTCACATGGTCTTCTCTCTGTGTCTCTCTGTGTCCTGATCTCTTCTTATAAGGACACTGGTCATATTGGATTAGGCCCTCATTTTATCCTAGCCAAATCTTTAAAGGCCCCCACCTCCAAAGAGAGCCATGTTCAGAGTTACTAGGCGTTACTACTTCCCTTAAAAAATTTTGAAAGATACAAACCAGCCTATAACAGTCAGCAATGGGAAAAGGGAGAGTAGGGAGCTATGACAGTGACTATGAGGAAATGAAAACACACTTGGCATCTGCAAGGAAAAGAGAATTTCAACTGTATTCCCTTCCCTACCTCTCCTGTCTCAATTGTTTGACTGAAGCTCCAACTGCGTATCTGTTCTAAAGCCAAGCTCATCATCTCAGTCCAATGAGCTCCACAGCTCCAATTCCAAGTGCAGAGCACTTACTCTCTAACCCTAAACCGTATGGCTTTTGTTGATACTTAACACCTTGGGTGTCATGGGTCCCTTAACCTCATTTTACATCACCATCCCTGTGGCTGCTCACACTCACCTTTGGTCCCTTCTTCCCAGAAGCCAAACCTACTGCTGCTGTAAGTCAAGGTCTTGCAATACTCTTCCCTTCTGCCCCTTCCCTGCCCAGCCCCTATTCATTCAGTAAATGTCATTTCATTCTTCAGATTTCAGTTCAAATGCCTATCCTTAAGGAAGATTTTTAAGGATCGCCCCAAGACATACACATTGAACAGTTCTATCTCCTGCTCTCCTGCTCTCCATATTTAACTACATACCTGCACTAATATTATGTTAGTAATGTCTCCCCATGAAACCAACCACACAACCAAAAGTTCCTGAGCAGAACTTATACGTCTGGTCCATCATTTCCTACCCAACAGCTGGTGTGGAATCAGGCACCTAGTAAGGGCTTAATAAATACTTGTTAAAGGAAAGAATGAGGTCTAAGTTGGTGGTCTGATGATATATTCACTTTGAGGTGGAGGCAGTAATGGCATCTAGATGGACAGAAACATGTGTAGACATTAGTAGATTGTAAGCCAATTAAACTATACATAGAAAGCAAAATTGAACTAGTCTTATTAGATCACAATTCTATAGGAACCAAGCATATTTTCCATCTCATTAACAGATATTCATATATACGGTATATATAATATATATATTTTTAGAGATATAGTACTCTGCAGATACATTTTTTTAATCCATTGAAAGGTTATCTGTTATCTCCCTTTGCCTGTGGCTCCTTCCACTGTTAGCCAGAAACCAACAGGAATTGTTCATTTGAGGTAAAGAACTGGCAGATACCACGCTGACTCCAACCCAACGCTTACTCTTTCCTTTCTTCTTCACATTAGGCAGGAAACACTAAAATTCTGGGAACAAGATGTGTGTCACACATTGGAAATGTTAAAATCTGCTGATAACATCCAATCTCCCTCAGCTAAATGCATGCGGAAGCCACATGGTCACAACCTAAGGTAAGAGAGAATATAACCAGTAAACTCAAGCAACATTCCACATGTTATCACTTTCAGCTTTGCACAACATGTGGAAACAGGCTCACTGTACCACTTGCCTGTGTCAGAACATCGAAGGGAGGAGGATGCACGTTTGGGATTTATTACAGTCACCTCAGGGAAGTGTCCAGAGGAGCCCATTACAGTCACCATGTGGCCATATGTTACAGATTTCTTACTTTTAAAAGGACTGTGTTCTAGAAATAGATGTATTTATCTTTCAGATGCTTGCACTATATGTGTAGCTTTGGATATTCTGAATACTTGAAAGCACAAGGTGCTACTAGTCAATGCTCATGGGAAACTAGAAAAAAAAAAGTTTTTCTTTTCTAAGTAATTGCATCATTTGCTTCGACCTAGACTGAGTTGTTTTACTTGTTTGATGTTTTTGTCCCCACCTCCACACTCTGTTCCATAACAGCCATATCTCCTTTTTGATCCACCTCAACTATTTTATCCAAGTTATTAGGGCTCAAGTTCCATTGAGCCTCATGGCAAGTAATTTTTCTTATGCCAAAGAAGAAATAGGAAGCAAATTAGGAAAATCAGGTAAACCAGAAAAATAATGCTAACAGGATCAAAATCTAAGTAACTTGCCAAAGAACAAAGTTCAATTTTAGGAGCTTAACAGTTCAGATTAAAAATGCAGCATCAAACAGTTAATTTCTGTTAGAAAGAAAATAAGCCAGGCATGGTGGCGCATGCCTGTAACCCCAGTATTCTGGAATCTAAGTCAGGAGAATCACCAAATTCAAGCGAGGCCTGAGCAATTTAGCAACTTAGACCTCCTTGTCTCAAAATAAAAAAGAAAAAGGGCTGGGGATGTAACTCAGTGGGAAGGCTCTAGGTTTAAGCCCCAGGAAAGAAGAAAGGGAGGTAAGGAGGAAGGGAGGGGATGGCCCTTAAAACTCAAGTTGAATGCTATAACCTCTCCTTAAAATCAGTGATCAAACATTCACTACATTCCTCACAGCAGGTAAGGCACTGCATCAACAACTGAGAAACTCTTATTCCTAGCCAGAAGCTATGCTTTCCCCTCTAAGTAACACGGAAACAAACCTCTCCAGAGATACAAATCTACCCCTTCATTAAGGTACAGACCTGAATCCAGTGTCCCAGAAATTATTAACTTGATTATTGATTGTTCTGGGGTTAAAATATTCATAGGAACCAAAAAATGCTATAAAAGAAACCTAAGAAAAGTCATAAGCTGACCAATTTCAAAACATGGGAGCTTCAAATAAGAAAGTCTCTCTAATCCAAAATTCTATCTTTAAAAATATATTAAGGATCAATAGAAACCAGAGCCTAGTGATTAAACTGTTTTCTAGTAATCCAGTTTTCTAGCTACTAGAATGCTTTATATACTTTACATCTAGTGATGTAAACACATAATGTCATTTACAAAAGATGCACTTGAGAAGGACTTAAAGGAACCACCACTCTATTACAGCTGTCTGATAGCCACATCTGCGAATTCATGCTATCTAATCTGCCATCCCATGGCTTGGCCAATTACCAAAATTGCTTCTTCCAACAAAAAAGAAATTATTTTTATTATCTGATGCCCATGACTACTTTTTATTTTTATTAAAAAAAAAAAAAAAAAAAAAGCTTATCTTACCAGGGAGCCATCATCAACAAAATAATTAATAATTTCTATTTATTTGGAATACCCTACCTTCTACAACTATGTTATAGTAACTATGCAAATATTTAACTTCACCCAAAATTATTTCAGCCCAATTCCCAAGAAAAATCATTTCAAGGAAATATTTCATTTCACTCCCTGTAAAGCTCAACATAAAGCCAGATGTTTTAGCGTAGTCCTACGTGACATTCTGTTGCTACAGCAACGAAACTCTGCTACCTGTGGCCATGATTTGCTAAGAATTCCTCCAACCAGTAAATTCTGTGCTGTGCATTCATAAAACCAATAGAATGACTCTAAGCAACACGAAAATTAAGGCTTCATTTCCTGTGTATGATTTACCCACACACATATTTACAACATATATACACATATGTATTCATACATACGTAATTATGATTGCACACTCGGTTAAAAGGATAAAACCATATCAAATGAACATTTTAAAATGGAAAAACTGCTTTTACATCTCATTGAATCATTGCTTTCTTCCCCAAATGTCTGTAAAGACAAGAGACCCTGGGAATTTAAAAATCAAGATATATATTAGAAATAAATTATTTATAGCCAATCTCATTCCGACATAGAAAACAAAAGACTGAGATATTATCCCTATCTGTCCCAACAGGCGTGGCTTTTTAAGCAATGAGCTGATTGAGGAAACAGGAACCTAAGAATAGAGATAAAACTGTGGTTATCACCACTTTCATTCATCAAACTGCTTCTGCAGGCTACTCACCCTCACTGGGGGGCTCCAGGCTTGAACCCGAGGCTGCTGTCCACCCTGGGAGCTCTGCAGATCTTTTGCACTACAATTAACCACAGTGCTGCCCTGAGCCCTTAATGCATTTGTGCAGTTGGTCCCACTGCCCCCACCAGGGCCAGGTTTCCAAGGCCTCTGCTTGATGCCATCCAGAAGTCTGACCAGCAGGATGTTACTGGGGAGCTCCTCTACACCTGAACCAACAAGAGTCCTGCACTCCGGGCATCTGAGTTCATTCCGGGAACCTACAATCCCTAGCAAACATCGTTTGCAAAACGTATGCTGGCAAGGCAAGACCTTTGCAGAGGCATCGAGGCGTTCTAGACATACAGGACACTCCAGAAGATCCAACAAGGCAGATTCATCCATCTTGATCTACTTTACTGAGAAAAGGGCTTCAGAAATGGTCATAGTTGTGTGCAGCCTGTAAAATGATTCATGTCACATCCATCTCAGACTTTGTTCTGGAGACAAGAGGAGAGAGGAGAAAAGGAGAAAATTAGTGTTAGTTATCTAAGGGAAAAGTTCACAGAGAAGCAAGGAACCACAAAGTACACAAAAGTGCTTCCTCTGCGTACTGTAGCTTTGCTTTGGAATGTGGTTTCTAAACTCCAAAGTCAACAATTAAAAAACAAAACAGGCTTTTAAAATAACTCATAATTAATCCCAAAAGACATCCAAAAGCTCAGTACACAGAAGTAGCTATAAAGTACTATACAAGATTCCTGCAATAGCAGTATTTACGAAATGCATTTTTTAAAAAAGCATAATTTCTTCAGCTCTGAAAGTGCTATTAGTTGCCTTTTTCTGAACAGAAGCAATTGAAAGTTTCCCCCACCTGAAATTACTTTTAAATCCAGCGAAGCTCTCATTTTTAGAGCTATTTTAGTGTTTAGGAAACCATGCTTTGGGTGATCCTTGTGGTAAATGATCCAATATTCAATACATATATTTCTCCTCTGTCTTAAAAACAGAACTGTTTAATCTTGTCCAACCAAAAAGGTTGGCAATTCTGAAGGCTACAACTAAGGTTTGCTTGAAAAGGGCTAAAACATAACAGCACTTTTCACGGCAGCGGTTGACAAACTCTGAAACGGATTTCTGAACGGCCTGCCCTGATCTCATTCAGAAAATCGTGCAGAATGATCACCAAACAAATCGACAATGGAATGCTGGACTGAAAACTGTGAGCATAATACGAAAACGGAGCCATTCAGGAAAAAGCATTTAAACCAGTTACTGCAACGCTTCCCACCCACCTACCCATCAGCACCATCAAAATAAATGGAAATGCGAATGCCTAGGAGAAAGGGGTGACGAGACCGAGATGGCAGCGTTAACAGCTGTTCTTGACTAAGTGTGAGCGGGGAAGCTCCAGGGCTGCGCCCCTACGGCAGGCAAACGAGCTCAGGTACTCCCGGCCCCGCAGGGGGCGAGGCGGCCGCTCGCCGCAGACACAC